CTATCCAAATCCTGCCACCTTCAGCTTTGTAAATTCTCCAAAATATGCCCCTTCCTCACCAATGAAACCACAAAGCTACTCATCCACTCCCTTGTTATCCCTCATCTTGACTATTGCAACTCCCTACTCATTAGCCTTCCTCTACACAGGCTCCTCCCCCCTTCAGTCTATCATGAATGCTGCTGCTAGACTCATCCACCTAACCCACTGTTCAGTGTCTGCCGCCTCTCTCTGCCAATCCCTGCACTGGCTTCCAATAGCCCATTCCTCTCTGCCAATCCCTCCACTGGCTTCCAATAGCCCATTCCTCTCTGCCACTTCCTCCACTGGCTTCCATTTCTGTCCCCCCTCTGCCAATCCCTCCACTGGCTTCCAATCGCTCATTCCTCTCTGCTAATACCACCACTGGCTTCCATCCTCTGCCAATCTCTCCACTGGCTTCCATCCCCTGTCCCTCTATGCCACTGACCCCACTGGCTTCCATTCCTGCCCCCCCTCCAATTGCCCAAAGAATAAGATTCAGAATATTAACAACCATTTACAAATCCCTCCATAACTCTGCCCCGGCTATATCTCGAACCTTGTCTCAAAGTATCACCCTAACCGCCCCCTCAGCTGCTCCCAATACCTTCTCTCTCTAGCTCTCCCGTCACCTCCTCCCATGCTCACCTCCAGGCCTTCTCTAGGGTCTCTCCCATCCTTTGAAACTTCCTTACCTCAACCTGTATATCTATTTCCTCCCCTGTCTGCCTTTAGGAAATCCCTAAAGACTCATCTCTTCAGGAAGTCTATCCCACCTCAACCTAACCACTGAACCATCACTTTCTTAAACAATTCATCCCCTCACAACTCCCACCTCTTGTATCACTTGCCCTTCCCTTTTAGATAGTAAGCTCTCGAAGGCAGGACCTTCCTTACCATCTTGTCTTGAATTGTATTGTACTGTAACTGTGTGGTCTTACTTATATTGTAAAGCACTACGTAAACTCTTGGCGCTATATAAATCCTGTATAATAATAATAATATTTATGTATTTTAATTTTTATTTCATATTTTTCCTTCTAACAGCATCTGGCGGTCCAACTCCATCAACCGGTAAGATCCCAATGTTGCCATTTTAAATCCAAATAAGAGCTGTGCAAACTGTTCTGTGACAGAGCAAGTAAAGGTTGACAGGTCCTCTTTAGAGGTATTTGAGGTTATCAATGGTCTCTTTTCGGGTTGATTGGATGGGGCTGAACAAGAGTGTACACCAGGATTGTGTGTCCGGAAGTAACATGGGGGGGTACTCATTTTAGGTGAGCTGGGTTAGAAATTTGTTGTCCAACAGGTGTGACCCCAGATGGGATCCAAAAGTGGCCAATCAAGCTCCTGATAAAAGAAATTGAGTCTATAGCGGTGAATTGCCTCCGTAGATGAATCGCTGAACTATAATAATAATGATGATCTCCCAAATATGTTTTTTAAACTCTCCTCTGGGCATGTTGCAACCGCTGCTTCTGGTTTTGTGCCCCGGTGCTGGAGACGAGGGCAAGCATTCAGCTTCTCAAACGTGACTTGCCCCATAGAACTGCAAAATGCTTCCTCCTGCCTTCAGCAGATTGATCACTGGGGGAGGGGAGACTGAGGAAATGCTTCTTCCTGCCTTCAGCAGATTGATCACTGGGGGAGGGGAGACTGAGGAAATGCTTCCTCCTGCCTGCAGCAGACTGATCTCTTGGGAAGGGGAGACTGAGGAAATACTTCCTACTGTCCTTAAAATTGTTCTTGCAAACTTGTAAAGTTGCTGACAGGTTCACTTTAGGTCTGCATGCTGGGGTTGTTCCCCTGCTCTGTCTGTGAGTGTTTTTCTTTGTATTACAGGCGGATGTCCAGAGAATGAGGAATTTGTAATATGTGGTAGCCAATGCCTAACCAAATGTAAAAACCGGGACGTCCCGCTGGAACCGTGCAACCGCAAATGCTACATAGGCTGCGACTGCCTGAAGGGATACCTGCGGAACAGCGCCGGCACCTGCGTCCACGCGGAAAACTGCAGCTAAAGCATTTGTGAGAAGATTTACTTCATTGTGACTATGAATGGAAATAAAAGATCATAAATCCAATTCTCCTTCCTGTGTGCCGGAATGATTGCATTATTTATTTACTTTCTGGTCAGTCTGCAACAGACTTCAGATCAGACACCCCGTATAAGCCTACGCTCTGATCAGACACTCCGTATAAGCCTACGCTCTGATCAGACACCCCGTATAAGCCTACGCTCTGATCAGACACCCCGTATAAGCCTACGCTCTGATCAGACACCCCGTATAAGCCTACGCTCTGATCAGACACCCCGTATAAGCCTATGCTCTGATCAGACACCCCATATAAGCCTACGCTCCGATCAGACACCCGTATAAGCCTACGCTCTGATCACACACCCCATATAAGTCTACGCTCTGATCAGACACCCGTATAAGCCTACGCTCTGATCAGACACCCCGTATAAGCCTACGCTCTGATCAGACACCCCGTATAAGCCTACGCTCTGATCAGACACCCCGTATAAGCCTACGCTCTGATCAGACACCCCGTATAAGCCTACGCTCTGATCAGACACCCCGTATAAGCCTACGCTCTGATCAGACACCCCGTATAAGCCTACGCTCTGATCAGACACCCGTATAAGCCTACGCTCTGATCAGACACCCCGTATAAGCCTACGCTCTGATCAGACACCCCGTATAAGCCTACGCTCTGATCAGACACCCCGTATAAGCCTACGCTCTGATCAGACACCCCGTATAAGCCTACGCTCTGATCAGACACCCCGTATAAGCCTACGCTCTGATCAGACACCCCGTATAAGCCTACGCTCTGATCAGACACCCCGTATAAGTCTACGCTCTGATCAGACACCCCGTATAAGTCTACGCTCTGATCAGACACCCCGTATAAGTCTACGCTCTGATCAGACACCCGTATAAGCCTACACACTGATCAGACACCCTGTATAAGCCTACACTCTGATCAGACACCCCGTATAAGTCTACGCTCTGATCAGACACCCTGTATAAGTCTACGCTCTGATCAGACACCCGTATAAGCCTACACACTGATCAGACACCATGTATAAGTCTACACTCTGATCAGATAAAACACTCTAGACTTGCAGGACCCCTCTCCTGTCATCTCCATCCCCGACCCCTTGGGAGTACTGGCAACCTCCCAGAAATGTTCATTACCTGCCTCACGCAAAATGGCTGCCGCCGCATTTCCTACCTAACCTCATGGCTGAAGACACCTTCCTACACTAGGCCATGCACCCCTAGTGCCTACTGTTAACTGAAGCAACGCAGTAACGCCTTCCTATTGGAGGAGAAGTAACTGAGCCCGCCCATATCCGATCACAGATTGGTGGAGAGGAGGTTCGGGCGCTAGAGCGGGAAGAGCAGGAGAAGGGAAGGGAGCAGTAAAGATGGCGAGCCTGTGGATGGGAGATGTGAGTATGTAGAGGAGGTTTTAGGCTGTGTGTGTCGGCGCCTCCACCAAGGGATCCCGGTGCTCTGCTGTGGCTTCCTATAATGCCCGCGTGTGTTTTATTACTGTTGAATGTGTCTATAGTCACTTGCTGAGTCTATTGATATAGTGAATCGGACCTCTTGCAGTCGTTCATCTGTAGTTACTTTGTCTTTTACTTGTGTTAGAGGAAGAGGATACAAAGTGAAGCCCGAATGTTGTTTTCAGTTTTGGAATAAGTCGTGGGATGGTCAGCCCCCTTTCAGGATCATTGCTTCCTCTGTCTCCGCAGTGGGAGATTTCTCGTCACTTCCTGTCCCATATCTACAACAGGAAGTGAGAAGGAACCTCTCCAAAGTGAGGGAAAAGCTCTCAATACACCCCCCTCTCGTCTGATCACTTCCTGTTTTGTTTTTTCCTCCACAGATCGATGAGTCCATGAACGAAGTTTTCATAACGCAGGCCTTTCAGGCAATGAGGGAGACGGTGCGCAGCGTGAAGATCATACGCAACCGATTCACGGGGTGAGTCATTGTCGCCAGCCGGTATAGTAAACACCCGGCCATTCCCCTCCGCTTCCTTATTCAGAGCGGCAACGCCATTGCAGCAGATCCGCCATCTTCGGCGTTGCCGCTCTCTCGCTCCGGTCTTCCCCGGGCCATGTTCTGCTCTGTGCCTGAGCGTTATATGAAAGAAGGCATCCCCGGCATCCCTTTAGGCAAGCATACTCCTCCTTGCTGGCCACCTGGTGTTGCAGACATCAGCTGTGCATTCTGTGCCCTGAAGCAGCTCTGATGGATCGTGTTCAAGCAGCTGATCAGTAGCATGCATGGCTAATGTCTGCCACACCAGGAGGCCAGCAAGGACGAGTATGCTTGCCTAAAGGGATTCCGGGGATGCCTTCTGTCATATAACGCTCCCGCTCTGAGCTTTGTCACCTGAAACGAATCTCCGCCCCACTGTCAGACATTGAGGTAAGGAAGTACGTCATGTGACCTTTAAAAAAAAAAAAAAAGAACCAAGGTATCTGAGCTTGGTGAAATGTTGTGATTCGTGGACTGTTATTGATGGCAGTTCTAATAGGTTTATATATACAAGGGATAGGCAACCTCGGCACTCCAGCTGCGGTGAAACTACAGATCCCAGCATGCCTCTGCTTCTGGGAGCCCTGCTTGTGGCTTTTGGAGTCTTGCAGTGCCTCATGGGACTTGTAATTCCAAAGTAGCTGCAGTGCCGAGGTTGCCTACCTCTGATCTATAGTTTGGGGCAAATGGGCATGTAACCTTTGCTGCTGGAGAGAATGAGCCGGACTGAAATCCGATCCGTTCATGAGTTCATATGTCTTTTGGGTCACATGACCATCTGCCCATGGCATCCTAGAGTAACGGTTCTCCTGCCAGAGTTGGCATTTCAGGGCTTCTGCTATTGTTGTGTGTTCAGGTCTTGTTGTGACAGGTCCCCTTTAACCCTGTCGATGGCAGCGGAGCCGCCGGGAGTCTTTGTACCTGTGTAAAGCCGACTGCCTCTCCTGCATGACCGTGACACGCATCACGGGTGTCAGCGGGTAGCAGAGAGAGACCAGCGACCGCTCTGAGCTGTCATTACCCGGCTAGAGAAACCAGGGACGAAGCTGATAAAACACGATCTGTGCTTGATCAGCTTCACTGAGTCATCGCTTTCAGGAAATACATTATTCGGGGGGTTTTATGTAAATTTCAGACCTAAAATGAGGCAGCAAAAGGGTTAAAGGTGAATGCAAATCGGCCCATGCCTCCTTATGCCAGGTTTGGCGCCCCTAGTGGTAGAATGGCGTTATGACTAGGGCTGCAGCTAATGATAATTTTCATAATCGATTAGTTGCCCCGATAATTTTTTTGATTAATTGGTTATTTGCATAAAAAAAGTCTCTCCTCTCCCCCCACCAACTAATTGATTAATGAGAATAGTTGACAATTATTCCTATCGATTAGTTGGTTGCAGCCCTAGTTATGACAGCCTCTACTCCAAACACCAGATATGCCATATTTTATTCTTTTTCAGGGCTCTGGCCGGTTACTGTTTCGTTGAGTTCTCCGACCAAGCTGCAGCGGCACGATGTCTGATGACTGTCAACGGGAAGACCATCTCCGGAACCAATCCCGTGAGTGCAAAAAAAAAAGTTGCATTCCCTCCCACACTGGAAGTACCGATGGGGATCAGAAAGTAAAGTTCTACATTACAGTCTACAGACTCTTGAAGGCTCCATGGTGCCCTGTGGAGATTGTTGAAATGTAGTATCTTGCCATACTCTTGGGGGGTGGGCACTGGGGGCGATATATGAGCTTGTCGGGAAGATGTTTTAAAGGAGGAATACTGAGAAAACGGGAAAATATTGGAGCGCAAGAAGGTTTTCAGGGATTAGGATGAGGTGAAGAGTCACTAACGATTGATTTTTCTGGTGGGATAAATGTATAGAGTAAAAATGTTATTTATTTATATATAATATATATATATATATATATATATAATTTTTATTTTTTACCTGCTTGTCTTATGTACTGAGACGGAGAAGACGCCAAGGCTTAATTTTTTGTTTTCTGTTGTTCCGCATGTTGAACTTTCAATAGTGATTCTGCATTGCCATGCCTATACATTTACTTTATCTCTCTTTCCATTGTTACAGCCTAAGAGGTTCAAGCTGAAACACGCGCTGTACACCAAGCCGTCCGAGCCCAACCCCAGGTAAGGTGTAACTCCATTGTGGGTTCATTTATATTATCCTGTATTAGTTTTAAAGCAGACGTAACATAGGGAGGAGGTAGACAACCTCGGCACTCCAACTGTGCTGAAATACATATCCCATCATGCCTCTGGGGGGTCAGACTTGCAATGCCTCATGGGACTTGTGGTTCAACAACAGCTGGGGGGCCAAGGTTGCCTACCCTTGTGATACACTTGCCTCCCACTCAAGTGATCAACATCTGTGCCGCTGCCATCTTCACTCTCCTTCCTCTCCTGGACTTTAGTTTCCAGTGCTGTGATAGTTTGACTGACAATTACTCACTCGTGCAACACTGTACAACATGGCTGTATGAAACAAACCTGTGCTTTGCCCATCCAGGGCATATACTTCACTTTCTTTCTCTGCCCTGCATCACTATTCATCGAACTGGGAGAGAATAACATACCTGGTGCTTGTGGGTATGAGATACAAATCTTTTCTCTCATGTGGCAGTGCTAGTGTTCACTGATTGGCCTAGCGTGGTCACATGGGGCAGGGAAGAGACCTCGGCCCTGTTTAAAGGAGAACTATGGGGTCAGTGCTTTTCCCCATAGTTCTCCTAAGGGTCCCAGGAGGACACTAGCGTCCTCCCGTCACCCAAAGCTCAGTATACCGCAAGCTACAGCTCGCGGTATACTGAGACGCCGCAGCCGGGACGGATCCCGACAATTCTGTCTGGATCCGCCCAGCTGCGTGTGTGACAGCTGGCTCTGCCTATCCAGTGGCAGACCCAGCTGTACCCGCCCCCTGTCCGTTCCGCCAGTCAGCGCTGGAGGATCGGAGAGGGGGAATCCCTGCAGGGAACCGTGAGTGACAGTCACGGCTCTCTGCAGGCACAGGATCGAGAAGTGAGCGAGCGACGGTATGCGTTCGCTCACTTCCCGATCTATTGAGCCGACGTGTGACAGTTTTTTTTGTCACAGGTCGGCTCTAACTATGAGGCTGAGTGATTTTCACTCGCCTCATAGTTCTCCTTTTTAAGCTCCGAGAGACTGAGTGCTTAATCTGGGCTGCTGTTCTCCACTATTGGCGACTTTTTGTAAAGGACACCCACTTGACATTATGCGCACTTTAAGGACAAGAGGTCGAAATCGAACTTCGTCCACCCAGCTATTGACGTATTGATCATCAGTCTTCCTCCTCCTGTTATTTTCCAGCCCTCCAGTACGGAACCCGGCGGCAGAGTACGTGCAAGCGTTCAATTACTACACCCAGCAGTTCCAGCAAATGCTCTCCAACTGGAAGTACGACCCCAAAAGCAGCGCTTACAGCTATCAGCAGTACGGCTACACCCCCATTTAAAGTGGGCCTGTCATAAGAAAATAATGTAATTAACCCGTGCTTTTAAAAATGTAAGTTGCCCGGCTGTCTCCCTGATTTGGTGGCTTGAAGGGTTCATTCACATGGGCGTGTGCATCCGTGCGCCATGCCCGTGAAGAAACCTGCTCCCAGGAGGAAAAGGGTGCTGCGTGTTATTGCGTGCCGCAGCCTGTACCTCCCTATGAGAGGACACGGTTACATGCAGACCTGAACCTGCACACCCATGCTGGTCTGGGTCTCTCCCTATGAGAGGACATGGTTACATGCAGACCTGAACCTGCACACCCGTGTGGGTCTGGGTGCCTCCCTATGAGAGGACATGGTTACATGCAGACCTGATCCTGCACACCCATGCTGGTCTGGGTGCCTCCCTATGAGAGGACATGGTTACATGCAGACCTGAACCTGCACACCCGTGTGGGGCTGGGTGCCTCCCTATGAGAGGACATGGTTACATGCAGACCTGAACTTGCACATCCATGCAGGTCTGGGTGCCTCCCTACCAGAGGACACGGTTACATGCAGACCTGAACTTGCACACCTGTGCGGTTTTGGGTGCCTCCCTATGAGGGGACACGGTTGGATGCAGAGCTGAACTTGCACACCTGTGCGGGTCTGGGTGCTTGCACAAGTGTGGGCACCCGGTACCCGAATGGTTGTGCAGGTTCGTATTAGCGTGTAGCCGCAGGCTGCTATAAGCAACTATACGCAGCACCTGTCCCTCCCAGGAGCAGGACTGTGTGAATGAGCCCTAAAGCACATTCCCGGGCAACCAGGTCCCTCCACAGCACTGTTTCTGGATGTGGCTGATGTGCCCATGCAAGTAATACTTATTCCTCACTCCTCTAGGCTTCCCCCATGCTGTGCGACCAATCCCCCAAAGCCTCTTTGGCCAGAGGTCACTTGCTGATGTCATCAAGTGCAATGCAGGGCTACTAGTCCTGGATTGTACATGATGATGGCGAGAGCCCGCCTACAACCCAGAGCGTCGGAGAGAAGAGGTGAGTGCCAGAGCCTCT